CCTTGAAATTACCCAGCCCTAACACTACAACACATCAATCACCACCTCATCAGATGTGCAGAAGGTGGCCAAACTTCAACTAAGAGTGGACACATCATTCACCATTCCATTATATGAGGACCCGGCATTCACACTTCCATCACAAGGAAATGGATCTTCAAGTGATCTTCACATGAAAACATTCCCATCACCATATTCTCACATTGTAACATGGACTTCAACCTTTTTTTCTGATGAGGACTGGGCTTTTTGCCTTCCTTAGTTAAATATCAGTTGAATTCTTCAGTCTTTAGTGGACAATGTGTTTACACTTCCCTTTGTAGGGGAGGTAATTCAAATTCTCTAATGTGAGAACACAGTGTTCATACTTCTTATCAATAATAAAACAGAATTCACACTTCCATTAGTTTGGAAAATGGTATTCACTATTTCTCAGAACAGTTCATATGGATGTCTTTTTCTCCAAAGACAACAGAGCATCTGAAGTCACCTCCTGTGAACATGGAGCCTTTATTCTTCCCTCAAGATTGTAAATATCTTTATCGTTCCACCAAATAATCACAGGTTGCTCCAACTTCCATCACCGAGTACAGGGCATTAACAGTGACATCATAGGACAAAATGGCACTCAGCTTTCCTTCATAAATAAATAAAGCCTCCACCCTTTACTCTGCTAAAGAGAACACTCACCGTCTCTTCATATGAAAACATGATCTTCACCCTGTCACCATGTGTGGACATGTCATTCATCCTGCTGACACATCAAGTCAGGCTTCTTAACCATCCTTCAGATGATGGGGGGCATTTCCTTTCTGTCAGCTGAGAACACAGAGTTCACCCTTCCACCATGTGAGGGAAATGTGTTCACGCCTCCCTCCATTGAGAACAGGGCCATTCCCTTCCATAAAATACAGATTGGCTAGTCACATGCCATTTCAACTAGATAACCACTTTAAAACATCCAACATGTGAGATGACAGAGTTCATGTCTCCAAAGCTGAGGACAGGGCATTCATCCTTCCATCATGTGGCAAGATCTTCACCTTATTATGATGTGAGGACCCTGAATTCACACAGCTCTTGCATAACAACACATCCATCACCATTTTATCAGATGTGCAGGAGGTGCTCAAACTTTGATAAAGACAGGACAGAGCATTCAGCCTGCCATTACACAAGGATTCTGCATTCTCTCGACCATCACCTTCGTGAAATCTTCACATGAGGATTTTCCCTTCACCATATTCTCATATCATAACACAGCCTTCACCTTACTGCCAGATGAGAAGATAACATTTGGCCTTCTGTACTTTAGTAGTGGCTGACAATCATATGGCCTGTCATGGACACATTGTTCATAATTTCTTTTATGAACATTCAAATTTTCTTACATAGTAATACAGTGTTTGTCCTTCAGTCCAGTGAAGAAACTTATTGCCCTCTTCCATTAGGTGAAGAGATAGCATTCTGTATCTCACAGGAGAGGTCAAGATAACGTCCATCCAAAAGCAGAGAATGAGGCATTCAGCCTTCCCTCCAGTGAAGACAAAGCATCTACTCTTCCATGAGCATTGCCAAGTACATTTACCATTCCATCATAATAACATAGGCCATTCAAAATTAAATCACATGGGTACTGGGCATTAACTTTACATCAACAAATAGCATTCACCATATCCCTCATAAGTGCAAGTCACCTCTCCTTCCTCTGCCGAGCACAGGACATCACCATCCCTTCACATGAAGACATGATCTTCACCCTGACCACATGTGAGGACATGGCATTTGTCCTGATGACACATCAGATGAGGCTGCCCACCCTTCCTCAGGAGAGGATGCACATTCCCCTTCTTTCTGCTTACAACAGAATTCACTCTTGCACCATGTGAGGAAGATGTGTTCATGCTTCCCTCAGTTGAAGATAACATTCCCTCTTCCACCATGCACAGAAAAACCATCCTCTTCCCCATGCAATGAGGACACCAAGTTCAAACATCCTACATGTGAGGTGATAGGGTTCTCCTCATCATAGCTGATGACAGGGCATTCATCTTTCCATCACATGACAACAAAGCCTTCACCCTATTGTGATGTGAGGACTCTGCATTCACCCAGTCCTACCAATACAACACATCAGTCACCATTCCACCAGATGTGCAGAAGTTGACCAAACGTAGATTATAAGAGGACAACCTGCCATTATATGAGGACTCTGCAGTCAGTCATAATGAAAGAACAGATCCTTAATATCTTCATACCAGGACATGCCCTTCACCATATTGTCACACTGTCACACAGCTTTCTACCTTCTTTCATAAGAGGTGTAGGCATATAGCCCTCTTTAGTTGAGTACTGACTGAAAATTTTTTTTTCAAATTTATCATACATATTTACTTAATCTATACAGAATTGAGTAGATAAAATCAGATTCACATTAGTGAAAAATTTCTACAAAATGTTTTTGAAAAGCAAAACAAGACTGCCTCTTAACAATTCGTATCCTCATGAAAGACGTGGGCTGTAAAAATAAAGCAGTGTGTTTAGCACAAACTAGAAGATAATCTGCATCATTTTTTTCACAGTTATTTCCATCTACAGTCTGAAAGAGGTAGATTTTTCTGCAACACCTGAGAGTTGAATTGTGATAACCAGGTTTAATAAAGGCAGTTGCATACATAACTAAAAACAATGGTCTCAAGACCAAGAAATGTACTCCTACAAGTCCGAGGATGAAGGAGGTGGTCTGTTAACCCAGACTCAAGTTTTTGCTACACCTTGGAGTCTACTGCCACTATTAAATAATACACATCAAGATCCCATGGTGGTGCAACAAATGCAATTTAAGTGAATTCAACATTTAAAACTTTTCTGGGCCAGCCTAGTAGCATTACAGTGTTCTAGAATATGGTAGATACAGGGCATGCTACGAAGCCACAACATTGGGCCAGTGAGGTGATTGTTTTAGAAGGGTGTCCTTCCCAGATAGTCCCTTTTTTATTCACAGGGTAATGGGAGGGGATTCTGAAAGGACACCAAATGCATCCCAGACAGAATCCATATCCTTTTAAACACCATGAAAGCATCTACCTAAAGATACGTAGCAAGCCAAAAGCAGCAGGCCAAGTACTGTTAGTCACATTGCTTTATAAAGCCCTTAAAAATATGCAACAGGTCCAAGATTTACAATCTTCCACATAGGACAAGCACCACAAAGAAACGTGGTGGGTTACACAAATGGCTTGATAAAATGTTAAGAGCTGTACATCCAGCAGAGTTCTTGTAAAGTGTGATTAGTACTAATTTTAAAGTAGATTATATTTCAGATATATACCTTCATTTCCCTTGAGGGAAGTGAGTCCAGTATTTCATTTAGTAGCTGAAGTGGGTTTGAGAGTATAAAGGTCAGTCTGTCAGAGGGCATTGTTTTCACCTCCAACTCACTTTTGCCAGCGAAGATAACCTACTTTGTCTTCCACTGTGTGGCCCTTTGATTACTGATGATGGGAACTTGGATTTCCTACCTGTTGAACAATTCTCCATTAATCCAACCCAGTTTAGACCATAACTGTGACAGGACTTTACAAAGTAAACTCAACAAGAGAAAACCCTTTTAACTGGACCAAAGTGTTTATTCAGTCCAGTAAGCAATTTAACAAGTATCAGTTTGATAGTTTTGCTCTGTGGAATGTGCTAACATCACCTGTAATAAAACCTTTTTTATTTCAAAGCATTTCAATGCAGATCACACCAGGGACAGTCTATAGTGTAGCCTGATTAATCATTTGCATAACATAACTGAGCCACCCCTGAATGCTTAAAAAAAAAGGAAGTTAAAGAACTAATTCAAAAATTATGTGCTTAATTTCAATTTCCCCCATTCCAAGTGTAGAGACCTTGGCTAATACTGTGGGGGGACAGCTTAGAACAGAGTGGTGAGAAACAATGAAGGCATAACAGTTCCTGACCACTTAACATTCTGTCAGGTTCTCCCAAACTTAAAACATGTTTGCTCCAGTGTTTTAAAAATGAAAGCAGTTTCATGTAGCTATAGTACTGATCCAAAATTAAAAATTCCCTTTTTAAAATACTTTTGAGTACTTGCTGGTGGGATTCTTTTAACAACTGAAACCAACTTTCAAGTAGCCAGAAGACAGAAGAACTTCTGCCTAATGAAAGCTACAGGTACTATGCCCTCATCACTTTTAACAAGAGACTGAGTGACTGCACACATCAATAGCAGCTTTCACAGAATAACCAGCTTTCTGTGGGAAGTGGAGAATATGCACCCAAATGGGAACGAAGCAAACTACCATCCACAAACAGAATCAGGTGGTGCAAATTCCACACATGGATTCTGACTTCAAAACCAAAGCAGTAGGACTATTTTTAGTCACATACACAGCCAGCCTGTTTGTCCAGTGCTTTGCCTGTACATGCTACTTTGTTCACAAGTGACATCTCTGTATACATATCCTGCCAAAAGAGGCTTACAGCCATCTCAATTCTTCTAGTGATGTAAATATTACCAAAAAGCTAAACATAAGCAAATATGCTATGCTTGGTTTTGAACCAGTACAAGTTTTATTTTTACTTGGCATTCAGATGGCTATTAGGCAAAACTAATCCTGATAGTTTCCTTTTTTTTTTGAATAATATTAATGGGGGATGAGGCTAATATTTTCACATAAAATGTGAAATAGTTGGCCCTGTCTTGAGTGAAACTCACTGGGGTAATCGTGTATGCGGAGCAGGAAGAGAAAGGATGAGGCAATGAGCACATGCATTCCAGTGAAGGGGGGCATGAGGTGGATGTGCAACACAGCTGAGGGAAGTGAAGAGATTAAATCTATCAGATCTGCTAAGCAGCCTCCTGTACCACTTAAGTCCAGTAGTTCTAAGAAAATACAGATATGGTAGAAAAAGTAAGAAAATTTTCACCACAAAACCAATAGTTACTACTCACAGAGAAAGTTATACACAAAGTAGACCTCTCAATACAGTGATCACATGTCCTCCTAGTCAACTGACTCAACCCCTGGGGCCGAGACGCAGGAAGGGGGCTTCTGGGCAGCACTCGGCTCATGCACTGCCTTGGGCGCAGCCTCCAGCGGTGCCCCCAGGGCTCTGCTGCAGGAAGTATACAGCTCCCTGGGAGAATCTGGGCCTGGGCCCCTGGAGGGCTGCATCACAGGCATGGCCAGCTCCCCGTCTGGAACTTTGACAGAGACCTGCTCTTTGAGGACTTCCACCTTCTCATTGAGCTCATTTCTTTCTGTCTGAAGAGCCCTGCACAACTTCTCTAATCGTTCCAGTTTTATTTGAAAGGCCTTGTATTCTTTATCACGGACAGTTTTCTCTTCAGCCATTTGCAGAAGTGCTTTGTTGTTATTTTCCCACTTGGTACGCCATATTATTGTTTCTTTTTCCAGTTTTTTAATTTTCTTTGTCATCTTTTCCATTTCTTGTCTGAAGGTTGTAAACAGTTCATTGCTTTTTGCCATAGTAGTCTGGAATTCTTCAAACTTATCCATATAAAGAGAAAGCTGCTGTTTCAGTTGTACTTCTTGCTGTTTCATTTGTTCATATTTGTGCCTTGACTCTGTTGCTTCTTTTAATAAAAACTCTCTCTCTCTCTCTCTGATGCTTTTCATCAGCTTGTTTTATCAGCTGTGTCATCTGCTGCAGTTTGGCATCCACTAGCTGCTGTTGCAATTCCTTGTGTTTGAACACTTTATCAATATGCTCTTCCCTCAGTGCATACTGTTCAATGAGCTTCTTCAGCTTCTCTCCCAGTTCAATATTCTCCTGTCGGAGTTTGGCGTTGTGTATGTCATGTTGTTCCAGCTGGGCTTGGATTTCATTTAAAGTCATCTGGAAATGCGCAGTTGCTTCTTTATGCTGTTCCTCTTCCTCTCGTGCCTGCTGCACATTTTCCTCCTTTAACGTTTTATTGTGACGCTGAAGTTCCCTGCAAAGAGATTCTAGCTTGCTTCTTGCCAAGATAGCCTTGCTGTGTTCACTTTGCAAGTGAACTTTTTCTTTCACAATCTGGGCTTGCTTCTTCTGCAGAATCTTCATTTGCTTCTGAACATTCCTGCTCTCTTCCAGAAGATCAGCATATTTCTTACAGAGAGCTGCCAACTTCTCTTCTGGGGTTGAAAGGGTGTTTAGGGATTGCATCAGTAATAAAACTTCTTTTCCTAAGGTTTTTTCTTTGTTCCTGTTGCACTCTGAATCTTGCTGACCATCAGGGGGATCTGTTCGAGCTTCTCGCCCAGGAATTTCCTCTCTTGACTCTTGGGTGCAGTAGGCTGGGCCCACCAAATTCCTGTTCTTTGTTATAAAGTCACTGCCTTCATCCTCTTCCAATGAATGCTTGTTACTTGTGCCACAATTTGAGTCTTGATGTTGAAGAATATCATTTGACTGAGAGTTACACAACATATCTGCTTTCACCCCTAGCCCTCAAATTCCAGCTTCTTCCATTGTGACAATTTCAAACTTCTGTTGTGGGCCGCGTCGCCGTCCACCCTGGCTGGCCTCAATAGCCTCCTCGGTGTCGCCGCCTCTTCCCCGCGCTGCCTCCTCTACCCGCGTCACCATGAGGTGACGGCAGCAGCCAAACCTGACTGAAAATTCCAAAGTCTATAGTGGCTGTTGTGTACACATTTCCAATTGTGAGGAGAGGGCATTAAAATTCTCTAATGAAGAATGTCCCTCTGCCTGGAGATGAAACACCACATGGTGAGGAGTTGGCATTCAATGTCTCACTGTCTTTCAAACATTTGTATTTCCATCTGCAGAGGATGGCTTTCAGCCCTCTCTCCTGTGAAAACAGAGTCTTTATTCTTCCCTCAAGATTGTAAAGTCATCTTCCACAAGATAAACACAGGGCAGTCAAACCTCTAGCATTCGAGTACTGGGTATTAACACTACCATTTAAAGATGAAATGAATTTCACCCTTCCCTCATAAATGAGAAAATGTTCCTCACTTTCCTCTGCTGATGTTAGGACATTCACTGTTCCATCACAAGGAGACATGATCTTCACCCTATTACCATGTGAGGACTTGGTATTCATCCTACCGACACATCAGATGAGGCTGCCCACCCTTCCTCCTGGTGAGGAAGGACATTCCCCTCCACCAGCTGAGTACACAGAGTTCACCTTTTCATCACGTGAGAAAACTCTACTCATGCTTCTATCATTTGAGGGCAGGACATACACTCATTCATCAGGAGCTCTCATGCAATCACTCTTCCATTTGATGAGGACACAGCTTTTTCATTATTTTCCTGTGAGGGCATGGGGCTGCCTCTCCATGACTGAGGATAAGGCATTCACCACTTTAGCCCACTAGGACACAACACTCATCCTATCACCGATTATATTCATCCAATACTCGCCTGATTATACTTCTTTCTCTTAAACACAAGGCTTTCAACCTTGCAACCTTGCATCAGGAAAAAGGCAAAGCATTCACTCTACTATTATCTGAAGTCTTACCTATACCATTTCATCACATCAGGATTTACACCTTCACCCTATCTTCAAGTGAAGATGTTGCATTCACCTTACACACAACTTTAGGACATCACCTTCAAACTTCCCTGAGGTTAGGAGAAGGTTTTGGCTTTCAGTCAGGAGAGTACCAGGTGATAATTCTTCATACACTAGATGGCAGACTGTTGCCATTTTTCATGGTGAAGGGAGGGTATTTAACCTTCCAGGAAGTGATAATTTGGTGTCTGCCATTCTGTCTGGTAGAGACATAGCTTTCCCCGTTGCTTTAGGTGAGAAGTTGTTCATCCCACATTGTGTACAGATCAACCCTTTCAACAGAAGAGACTAGGACATTCCCATTACCTCAGCTGAAGAAAAGCCATTCACCGTTATTTCAGGTAAAGGCACGGCCTTCACATATTCACCAAGTGAGAACACAACTTTCACCCTTCTGGCATATGAAATGAAGCTGCCCCCCTTCCATCAGATGAGGGGAAGACACTTCCCTTCCCTCAGAAAGTACACAGAATTCACCCTTCTATCAGGTGAGACAACTGCATTCACTTTGCATCAGGTGATGACAGGACTTTCACTATTCCATCATTTTTGGACAGAGTTATTACACTCCTATTCCATGGCTCACAGTTTCAAACTTTTATCATTTCCAGGCACAGGAGTCACCTTTTGGCATTGGGACAGGCCATCCACTCTTCCATCATATGACAACATGGTCTCCACCCTAAGGTAAATGTTTGCAGTGTGTTTTCTGATGAAATTCACATAAAGATACATCCTTCATCTTTTCATCATGCTAGCAAAGGGATTCAATGTTCTTCAGGAGATGACAAGGTGTTCACCTTAACATCACTTGTGGACACCTCATTCAGCCTTCCCTTATGTAAGCCAAGATCTGCACCTTATTTTCACATTAGAACAAGGCCTTCGCCCTTAAAACATTTTGCAGAGAATGAGCTCAGCCTTCTGTCAATAAGCACTAGGTGGAAATCCTTCACTGACTAGATTCAGGATGCTCATTCTTCCATTGGTAAGGGAAGGGCATTCAGGCTTAGTTGAGAACATGGTGGCTGCCCTTCTGTCCAGTGAGGACACAGACTCCATCCTTCTTAAGTTGAAGAGCAGGTATTCACATTCTCACAGAAGTGACCACGTGATTACTTTTCCATCAGCACAGAATAGGGCATTTGTGATGACAGAGACTGAGTCTTTTCTCAGGCTTAGGAAGAGCACTCAAAATTCCACCCAATGAAGATGTGGCATTCACCCTTCTATCATGTGAGAATAAGACTTGAACCCTACCAGCTTGAGAGGAAGTGACATCTACACTTACATCAGGTGAGTGCTTGGCATCATCCATACTCTCTGCTGAGGACAGGACATTCCCCCTACCTACAGGGTTTCATCATGTAAGGACATGGCTTTCATCCCATGGACACATGAGAAGAGGGTGTCCACCCTTCCCTTGGGTGAGGAAAAGAAGTTTCACAATCTATCAATAGAACACAACTCCCCCCTTCCATCAGGTGAGGACAGAACCTTCATTTTCCAATTAATGAGAAAAAAAAAACTAAATGAAAGATCTCTGTGAGTGAGATCCCAGTGGAAAGAACAGGTCTTCAAAGAAGGAGGTACCTTTCTCTGAAGGGAGCAGAGAACCTCCACTTTGACTATGACCTTGTCTAAACAAGATAAGAGTCGGAGAACTCAAGGGGCTTCCATAGCCTTGGAAACTCATGACTGGTGCATAGGGAGGTTACTGATGCCTTAAACAGGAGTTTCAATTTGTAAAGTCAACAACAGGAGTCACTGTGCACTTACTCCTCATGTAGGATCTCTGCCCTTAATGTGCTGTACATTGAGACTTAATGCTATAACGAGTACTCAAACAGTGTATTTCACTTTGTGTTTCTATGAGGGTGCAAACTGTTGAAATCTTTACTTAATGTATACTAAACTGATCTTCTGTAAAAAAAAAAAAAAGAAGAAGAAGAAATTCTCAATTCCCAACTTGACTCTCACTGGGATTAAACATGACAATAGGTCTGATCTGATCTCATCATCATTTAAAAAATAATCTATTATTTTTCACTTTATGTTTCTGTGTGGGAGCAAACTGTTGAAATCTTTACTTAATAAATGCTAAACTGATCTTCTGTATATAAAGAAAATCAAAAATGAATCCTCATGTGAATGGAAGGGGAGAGGGAGTAGGAAAGGGGAGGGTTGCGGGTGGGAGGGAAGTTATGGGGGGAAGCCATTGTAATCCATAAGCTGTACTTTGGAAATTTATATTCATTAAATAAAAGTTTAAAAAAAAAGAAATACAAAAAGAAACAAAAGAAACAGTCCGGAAAGTGAAGAGACAACCGACAGAATGGGAAAAAATATTTGCAAACTATGCAACAGATAAAGGGTTGATAACCAGAATCTACAAAGAAATCAAGAAACTCCACAACATCAAAACAAACAACTCACTTAAGAGATGGGCCAAGGACCTCAAAAGACATTTTTCAAAAGAGGAAATCCAAATGGCCAAAAGACACATGAAAAAAAAAATGTTCAAGATCACTAGCAATCAGGGAAATGCAAATCAAAACTACAATGAGGTTTCACCTCACCCCGGTTAGAATGGCTCACATTCAGAAATCTACCAACAACAGATGCTGGCGAGGATGTGGCGAAAAAGGGACACTAACCCACTGTTGGTGGGAATGCAATCTGGTTAAGCCACTATGGAAGTCTGTCTGGAGATTCCTCAGAAACCTGAATATAACCCTACCATTCAACCCAGCCATCCCACTCCTTCGAATTTACCCAAAGGAAATTAAATTGGCAAACAAAAAAGCAGTCTGCACATTAATGTTTATTGCAGCTCAATTCACAATAGCTAAGACCTGGAACCAACCCAAATGCCCATCAACAGTAGACTGGATAAAGAAATTATGGGACATGTACTCTGTAGAATACTATACAGCAGTCTAACACAACAAAACCCAGTCATTTGCCACAAGATGGAGGAATTTGGAAAACATCATGCTGAGTGAATTAAGCCAGTCCCAAAGGGACAAATATCATATGTTCTCCCTGATTGGCGACAACTAACTGAGCACCTAGGGGAAACTTGTTGAAGTGAAATGGACACTATGAGAATCAGTGACTTGATCAGCTCTTGTCCTGATGGTTGATGTACAATGTAATACTTTATCCATTTTAGTATTTTTTTGTTCTAGTACCATTGGTTGAACTCTGTAATTAACACACAATTATTCTTAGGTGTTTAAATTTAACTGAAAAGTGATCCCTGTTAGGAATTTGGAAAACATTATGTTGAGTGAAATAAGCCAATCCCAAAGGGACAAATACCACTTGTTCTCCTTGATAGGTGACAACTAACCGAGCACCAAAAAGGAAACCTGTTAAAGTGAAATGAACACTATGAGAAGCGGTGACTTGATCAGCCCTTGCCCTGACTGTTGATGAACAACTTAATATGTTATCCCTCTTAGTATTTTGTTTGTTTGTTCTACTTAATACTTTTGGTTGAATACTGCAATCAATGCACAGTTATTCTTAAGTGTTGAAACTTAACTGAAAAGTGATCTTTGTTAAGTATAATAGTGGGAATAAGAGAGGGAAGAGATGTGCAATTCGGGGCATGCTCAAGCTGACTCACCTCAAATGGTAGAGTTAGAAACATACCAGGGGATTCCAATTCAATCCCATCAAGGTGGCATGTACCAATGCCATCTCACTAGTCCTGGTGATAATTTCTGTTCACAATTGATCATAATGATAGGACTAAGAGCCAAAGGGATCACAAAAACAAGACTAGTGTCTGCAAACTAGCTGATAGAATAATAAAGGGAAAGAACGATCCAACATGGGAAGTGAGATACACAGCAGACCCATAGAATGGCAGATGTCCTAAACAGCACTCTGGCCTCCGAATCAGCCTTTAAGGCATGTGGATCCAGCTGAAAAGCCCATGAGAGTATTTCAGGCATGGAAAGCCAAGACAATCTGGGAAAAAAAAAACTAAATGAAAGATCTCCACGAGTGAGATCCCAGCGGAAACAACAGGTTATCAAAGAAGGAG